GCGAGGAGGAGCCCCCCGGGCAGCCGCTCTCCGAGATGCCTTACGGGGGCGGCGGGGCCGGGCGCGGACAGCGGCCTCCCCCGCTGTTGCGAAGGATTTCGCGCTTGGGCGTTGTTTTGAAAAGCTGCGCAGGCTCTCAGCTGAGCTGTCCCGGAACATCGCTTTCCCGGTTGCGGGGAAGTACGAGCTCAGGAGCCGGTCCGCGGTCGGTAAAAGCCGAGGAGGAGCTGGGCGGCGAGGGGCACGCCTGACCAGGAGTTAGGCATAGCCCGCCCTCCTCCCGAGAAGGAGGGTTTGGGGTTCGTTGGATAGCTGGTTTTTTCCTTGGAAATCAGTCATAGTGAAAACCGATCGTGCATCAAGGCACGTCGCTTCTATTCTGCTTTCCGTTTCTCACGACATGACTCTCGTGGTCTGCCCGAGCAGTGCTGAGGGGCTGCAGTAGCTCTGTCTGGTTAACGACACCATACAGCGTTACCTTGGCACAGGCACGTTGACTCTATTTAAAATGTAGTATCCCAAGGTGGAAAAATTGGGCTTGTGAGTAGACTTCCTTCATCTCTTCCAAGAGAAAACACAAAAAGAAACAGTTGGATAACGCCTGAAGTTCACTGAAAATACTTCACGATGATCTATTCCTGCTGTTTGTATTTGCCGAAGGCGATGGCCTCATAAAATTAAACTTTTTGCCCTAGAAATGGGGATGAATCAGGCAGCACTGAAGACAGGATGACTAACAGACTGACAACTTTCTGTAGACTCAGCAGAACTGGTTGTACTGCAGAAGGATGCTACCCCCGTTTCCAAAGTTTCCGTGGTCCCTTGTTTCTGAAAGGCTTTTGAAATGCTGCTCTAATTCTCACATGCCGCATGCTGGAAGATGTACTTGGTGGGCTTGAGTAGTGAGGAGGTCGCATCTCCGAGTGATGTCTGATCAGCAAATTGAAACAACCCTGATCTCCTTAAATACTTCTTAAAATGTTCTTTTTTTGAACCCTTGCCTTGTGTACTCATTCATTTACACTAGGCATGAGTCCATTTCCTGGGGTGTACACTGAGCTGATATTTCTTGCCCCAAGAGAGCAGTATCTGCTTTTATCTATAAACTTCAAAGCTTCCTTGCAAGCTTGATGTGGTGTTTGTAATAGTTGTGAGGTATAAGATTGGCTTTGTTTTGTTATTTTATCTCACCAGATCTTGCATCATTTAGTCTCCTGTGATTTCTTCACTTCCTGCAATCCCAGTTCTCTGGCAGGATTGCGTGAATAGTGTTTCATCGAGAATCAGTGTAGTCTTACAAATTCTTGAAACAACCATTGAAAGACAAAAGATTGGTACTTGGTTTATGGAAGATCCACTGTTCTTCATTCCAAATACTATCAGACAAGAACAAACTTCCTAGAGTAGTGATCTTCCAAAGAAGACAACAAGATTTCCTACATTCCCCAGGTACTCAAAAGAGGGAGCCTGGAGAGCATATATATATAACGAGGGGCCATACGGAAGATATTTTTCTGTGATTTTTCAAACAAATCAAAACAAAAAAACACACAACAAACCAACCCCTGAGAGAAGACTTAAAAAACAATGCATTAAACCCAGTGCTGCTGATACTGCAAAGCTTGCGCAGGCCTTCCTGCTAAAAGACTGGCTTGTCCAAATTACCGTTAGTGTCCTACATCAATAGTCCTGCAAATTGTGGAGCGGAGGAACTGTAGCCACTGTTCTTGGACTGTAATTCTTCTGAGCAGTATATGAGAGAGGCAGTTAACAGGGATGTTTGTACGTCTGGAAAGTGCTGGGTTCTGTCTCACCTTGAATTCATTTGTTATGAAAGCTACTAAGGCATTGAAGGAAATCATGAACCAAAAGCTAAAGGAACGTCATTGTTATTTGGCAAAGACAAAATCTCTGAGGAGTTTTAATGTGGAAGCAAAGCTTAACAAGAGCTAAGGCTGCTAAAAATACTTATATGGTTTCCCTTTAAATTCCAGACAAGTAGTGTGGAAAACATTGTAACCCTTTAGGGTACTGTTTCAGGAGAATTTGTCATCACCTCTACTTTATATTCAACCTTCATTAAAGAAAGGTAAAAGATACTGTAAGGCGAAGCATAAACTTGATTTTTTCTTTTACTTTTAACTTGTAACGGACTTTAGTGTTTCTCTAGGATAAAGTGTAACATCTTATTAAACACACACTTTATATTATTACTTCTGACTTGCATTTTAGAAAACAAAAAAGTTCTCACTTGGTTTTTTTCTTGCTGCTTTTCCTTAGGTGTGCCAAAATGTCAGAAAGATCAGATATTCTTCACTTCAAGTTTGACAATTATGGGGATTCGATGTTACAGAAAATGAACAAACTGAGGGAAGAAAACAAATTTTGTGATGTCGTGGTCCATATAGATGACGTTGAAGTTCATGGACATAAAATTGTATTTGCTGCTGGCTCTCCCTTTTTAAGAGATCAGTTCTTACTAAATGACTCCAGAGACGTAAAAATCTCTATACTGCAGAGTTCGGAAGTGGGGAGGCAGCTGCTTCTATCCTGTTACAGTGGTATTCTGGAGTTTCCTGAAATGGAACTAGTAAACTACTTGACTGCTGCAAGCTTTCTGCAGATGAGCCACATTGTCGAACGATGTACGCAGGCCCTCTGGAAGTTCATAAAACCGAAGCAGCCGCTGGAGAGCAAGGAGTGTGAACAGCAGAGTGACTCCTCTGAGCTGAAGGAACATCAAGGAGACGATGACTCTCTGCAGCAAGATTCACCTTGTATTCAGCCTTCAGAAGACAGCATGGACATGGAGGATAGTGATATTCAGATCATCAAGGTGGAGTCCATTGGGGAGGTAACAGAAGTCAGGAATAAGAAGGATCAGAACCAGTTTATTTCTTCTGAACAAACTGCACTGCATTCCTCAGAGCCTCAACACTTTCTTATCAACTCCACTGTTGAAAACAGAGCAAGTGAGATAGAGCAAAACCACCTCCACAACTATGCCCTTTCATACGCTGGCAGCGATAACATCATTCTGGCCTCTAAAGATATGTTCGGGCCTAACAACCGAGGTATAGACAAAGGCCTCCAGTGGCACCATCAGTGTCCAAAGTGCACAAGAGTATTTCGGCATCTGGAAAACTATGCTAATCACTTAAAGATGCATAAACTATTTATGTGTCTCCTCTGTGGCAAGACATTCACTCAGAAGGGCAATCTCCACCGGCACATGAGAGTGCACGCAGGCATCAAACCGTTCCAATGTAAGATCTGTGGGAAAACATTCTCTCAGAAATGTTCCTTACAGGACCATCTCAACCTGCACAGTGGGGACAAGCCCCATAAGTGTAACTACTGTGACATGGTTTTTGCGCATAAACCCGTTCTGAGGAAACATCTTAAACAGCTACATGGTAAAAATAGCTTTGACAATGCCAATGAAAGAAACGTTCAAGACATAACAGTGGACTTCGATTCATTCACATGTAGCACTGCTACAGACAGTAAGGTCTGTCAGCAAGCTGATGCAAGCCAGGTACTGGATGCAGGGAAGCTGCCTCAGGCTGTGCTCAGTTTAAGAAATGATAGTACCTGCGTCAATTAAGCAATTAAAACCAGCCCTTTGTAGGGATCGTGACTGAGAGGAGCAAACAGTTGGTTTGGGCTCTTACCTAAACTAGTGGTATGTCCTGAAAGGCTACGGATGGATGCATGGATGGATGGATGGATGGCGGGTTGGATTGCAAAACCTGGCAGGTCTTCAGCCATCGTTCTTAGTCTTACTTGATATTTTCTGTGAATAGCAATCTTCCTTCAGGTTTCTGTCTGTGTCTCTACTGTGGATTATGGGGTTAATTGTTTCATTTCTCTCTGATTAGGAGACTCAAGACTAACACCTTTTGAAAGACTGTTGCTGTGGGCTGCAAGTAAACCATCTGCTGTACAGTTAGAGGCCTCTCTGTGTCTGGGCAGATGGAGGAAAGAGCAAAGAGGACAAGTCTGTGAGATAACCCGATTTTTATTTTTTTTTTTTTAAAGCACTGGATAACTGAAAGCACTCCACATAGTCAAATTTAAACTTACCTCTTAAAATTATCTTTCTTTGATCTTACCCCTAGACCCCTACAGTTGAAATGAAGTATTTTTGTGTCACTTTTTTTGCCCTTCCTGAACTATTTCAAGAAACTTCTGCTGCCAATCAACACTATCTTGAAAGCTCTCAGGGTTTTTAACCTCAACATGCATTATGAAACGATAAAACCCTAAATGATTTGGCAGGGTTAGCGGATAGTTGCATAGAACTGTTCAAAATGAGAATAAATTGCAGCTCTGGAATGTGAGAGGCCGGTGCCTGGAGTGCAAGTATGACCCATTTCTTAGGCTGTCATACCTAAAATTTTTAAAGGGCACTTACCAGTGTGTGTACTGAGACAAGCTAAACATTTCAAAACTAAAAATTACCATCCATCTTCCATAAATTTTGCATCCTGTAAGCCAGAGCAGTTGTTGGTTTTATAGCAAGGCTGGAGTGGAGAAATACTGCTTTTTGACACTGTGAAAAGAATCTGTTTTAAAAGCTGCAATTTATAACAATTCATGCTTTTTTTTTTTTTGTCCTTTTTTTTTTCCCCTTAGTTCTTGTATAGCTCTCGATATCTAAATAAGGGCCACATGTCAGTTAACATGAAAAAAGAAGCAAAAATACCTGCCATAAGAACATTAACAACATGAAGTTTCCTGATTTCTTAGACATTTAAACTTTTTTTTTTTTTGTGACCTGCATAGTTTGTGACTGTTAGTGTTTTACAGAGCCTAGGATGAGGTATAGGTAGCACAAATTCCGTAGGTTAATGTATCAGCTATTGACTGTACTCAGCAATACCTCTTGTATACCGCCTTAAACATCAAATGTAGCGGGAATGGCATGTTAATTGGGATTCTGGGATTATACTGAATTGCTTCTCAAAAGTGCCGTGGAATTATCCGCATCCCAGTCAGGCTGAAAGAAACTAATTTATCTGAGAAACACCATTCCCAGTAGAACAGCACTCTTATTACATTGAAGTGTAGCATAGACTAATAATCAAATGGCTGATCCTCGGTCGAGAACTGCTGTTTGTATTTGGAATAAGTATTTCTTCCAATGCAGCTCTTTTCCACAAGGTTTGCCATGAGGCTGAGATTATGCTTCCTACCTAAAAGTAGTACTGTTTGTGTGTTTGAATGAGGGGGTGGGGGTGAAAGGCTGCTATTGTATGGTTAAAAATGCTAAACAGGTATGACCAAAGGTGTGTTAGAGCAAAAATTGTTTTGTATGTAATTATCAAAAGTTGGTCTTGATCTTCAGATATGTGTGTGTAGAAGCCAGGATTTCCTTACACAGACATTAGACGGATGGATGATAAAAAGCGTTAATGTTGCAGAACGTTTTCAGAAATCCACATACTTTCAAGTAGAAAAGCAAGGTGATTCTGTGAATCAGTTTTTGCAATTGAGTTCTTAAACTACTGTACTTGACTGTTACAAGAACTATTACATGGATAGCTATGAAGTAAGCAATGGAAGTGGAGTCAGGGCATTACATCCTGCAAGTTGTAGCAAATATATTTAGGCCTAAAATCTAACTATTTGGAACTTTTAAAAAGTATTGTTCAGGTTACTGGGGCAGAAAATAAGTTTGCATGGGAAGAAAAACTGTTTTCCTCTTAAAGCCGCCCGCTTTCAGAATTGTTTTGACTGTGACAGTTGCATTTGACACTTGCATTCTGTCCTCAGGCAGAATCTTCTGTACTGTTCAAACATTTTGATAATATATTATTCATTATATGGAAATAAGTTATAGCACTAACGTCAAAATGAAGATAGACATGGAGAATAAGAGCCAGGTCAACGTGCTGTAAGGGACTAGTGAACAATCTAACCAGATATGAATATGGACACGATAAAGAAAATGGTCTTCTGCCAGAGAGAGGAATAAAACCGTACAAATGCTAGAAAAAGTGGCAGCAAAATGGACAGTATTGAAAGCTTTGTCTATCTGGGAAGTTTTTTTGGTGGAATTACGAAGCTGTAATGTTACTGTAAGGAGAATACAGCTTGTTGAAGTAGCTGTGGGTGACCTGCAAGCTGATGCGAAGAGACAAGGGGTTTCTTAAGAAACAAAAAAAAATTATTTGATCACGATATATAGGTTTTCAATCCACCCTGTGCTGTGGTGATGTCAACGTCTGAGAAGGCTGAGACTGCGGGCCGTTCAGTTAAAAGGCTGCTTGTGGTCATTTGGTGAGACCATGGCAGAAATAAATAGGAAAAAGCAGAAATGCAGAAGACTGCTTCTTCAGTGAAAATGGACGCATCTGTTGGATGAGAAATGACTTCTTACTAATGTCTGTGCTTTTGGCCTGGCAAAAGGGTGCAGACCAAAAAGATTTATTCAGGAGATGGCTCCGTGACTCCAGAAACACTGGAGATCTAAGAGGGCAATACGCTGATGGCACAGCACAAGGCGTGCTGGTGGTAGAGTTCATCTAAGATCTGCCCCTATATGGAACAGACAAGTGAAGAGCGTAGAAGAGGTATTAGAAAAGAAAAATCTGGCTAATGCTTCTTCTCTGAATTACAGATTAAAATGGAGTGAGAATTATAAATGGAATATACAGAGGCAGCTCGATTCTAGGATAAGATGAACTTAATTGTCCATGTATGTAAAATGTTGTCTTCATTGCAATGTTCCGATTAGTGAAAGACTAGATCCATTGGTTGTTGCTACTGATGCTGCATATTCAGATGAGGACTATGGCAGTTATCATAATCTGTGTGTTAATGTGTAGAATACTATTTGCTGGTAAGTGGATAGTCTCACAACTTAATGTGCTGTACAACTTCCTGCATATCCTAAAAATAACTGAAGTCTATTACAAAAATATTTTAATAACTCCTTGAATATATTAGGATTTTTTTTTTTATGTTGGCATTTTATTTATTTATTTTATATAGAAGAAAATCTTAGAACTCTTAGGTTTACCAGAGGTTTAGGCTTACCACTTTTCGGAGTGGTGGTAGCTTGTGTAGCATGTGTTCCTGCAGCATATGGTGCAGGTGCACAGCCTCCTGTATAGATCAGGGATGATTCTTTCCTTAATTTATTTTTCTTTTAGAAAACCTGTTTTGCAAGTTAGTAACTGATAAAATTGAAGTGTCAAGTCTTTTTTCTTCCCCCCTCCCCTTAGCTTTTTGGCAAAACTTAGATAGCTGCCGCTGAACTTTTGTTGAAATAACTGAAATTGTGTGGGGCTGATTTCGGTTCTGGAGTGATTGGGAGGAGTAAAGGCGAGGAGGGAGAATCGAAGTGGGATACAAACTGAAGGTGTTGGGAGAGTTCTGAAGTCACGTTAAGTCTCGATTTCTAAACGCAAAGGAGGGACAACAGTCGGCCCTCCTGACTTGGTAAGGGTTGAGAAGGCAAGACAGACGTTTTTCCTTTGGGATTGTATAATCGACGGACTGAGCATTAGCTACCTCTTCAGTGACTGGGCAGAAGTCTTACACTACGTACTATTACCAAAGCAGGCGGGTCGGGGGCTGCGGGTGGTTCCTCCCCGCTCCGGGGCCCGGGAGCTGCTCGGCCCGGCGGGTCGCCTTCCCCTCGGCCTGCTGGAGC